CACGCAGCCTATTCCTGTGCACACCAACAGAAGAATCCGTCAGCATTCTTCTGGCGCGCCATCCGGTGACTGACAGTCTGGCATCGTCCAAAGCGGAGTTCGAGCCCATGTTGCATTTTGAGACCATTATCAACTCTGAAAGCTCTTGAACGACCATCTGGCACCGACTCCCAAATTCGTCCCTATAGGAATTTGCCCCCGGAAAAATATCGCGTCACCTGGTTTTTTTCAAACCCATTGTCTTGAAGATTCCTCCAGTGCCATTTGGCAAGACCGGCTTCCCAAAGACAGTTAGTTTTGCTTTTTCCCCAAATACCGACTTCCACCGGAGACTTCCTTCGAAAGATGTTAACGCTGCTCACGGTCTCCTGGATCCCCACCAAGCGGCCTTTAGCTTCGTTTAATGCCTCCAGACCTGCCAGAGGTTTTATGACCTACTTCCCAGGAAGTTGCACATCGGCGATCTGCTATCGGGAAGTGCCAGTAGATCCCCGTCAGGTCGACCCTATCCTAAAGCTCGACGTGGACTCCCTCGCCTTGCTTCTCATCCAAGTTACTCAAATCATCGCGCGAACTGCGGCTGCGCCCACCTCCTTCCACCGGTCGTAGCCGTCTGCGGCCAGTCGGCCGTAAAGAGTCAGTTACTGAGGCTGTCGGGCATGCCTGACGCCGGCTGTCGGCTCCTGAACTGGACAACTCTCATTCTCCCAGTGGAAAACCTCCTCGGGTTCTGAACACTCCATTACACTGGGACCCGAAGCCGCACAAATGCTGACAATCAAAATCGGTCTGTGAGACGTCCTGTCCCAGAATTCGATACTTCGCTCACTGTAAAGCCTATGTGGTACGTCATCAAGGGCGGGGTTCACTGCACTCACCGGCCACAGGCTTCCAACTTTCCTCTGGCGATCTCACCCAAACATTGTGTCGGGCTACACCAAGGTAGGGCAAGTCGCGAACTGAAATCGCAGTCTACTCCAACCCCGTTAATACCTCGCCCCCAACATGCATTAGCCAGGTTCCAGCTCGGCAAGTGATCGCCAGTTCTTGTGTAGTTTTATTCGAAGTCTCCCCCCAACAAAAAGAGTGATTGGTGCCTACACCTTGGGGAATAAATCCACAATCCGCAGCAACAGAAGACGTCAGGCGGCTAGGCATTTGCAAACTCCAATCCCGTGAAATGTTTGTGGCCTATCTTATAGAACCCGACACTAAATCACCTGCGCAGTGGGTGCGCACCTTCGCTGGTCGTAATCTCACCTATTTTGTATGCGGAAAGCTAGGCAATCGTCTGCGGGGGCTGTTTATGCAGCCTGAACGCAAAACAAGAACATGCGTAGTCAGATGGGTAGGCCGTCACTCGCACGTAAGTGCGAACATGGAGGATGGATGACGGCCATTCCGGCAGCGCCTTAGCTCTTTCGGTAAACTGTCTCTCACTTAAAGACGTAACCGTCCCTCGGGGAACAAAATTTTTGTAGCAAACCATTCTACAGACGGGCAGTCGGATCCTTGGCACTTCGAGGTGAGGGCAAAAGCAGATCCGCCATCTCGCTGCTTCGGACTCTGGTGCCGAATCTTGCTGACCACCCAACCTTAGTAGCTGCGCCTAAACGCGCCCTCCCCGGACGAACACAGTGGGGCTGACTTAGATGGTTTCATTCAGGCGCAGACTCGGTTGCAGTCCGACAATAAACACGTTGGCTACCAATCGCAGGGTCATCGTGTGAACAAGGGAGAGAAACTCCTGAACGTTAGCAAGACCATTATGCGCACCTACAAACCGACAAGTTCGCGACGGCGACCCTAACGACTTCTTGGCCTAATGTAAACCCTGGACAAGAGTGGGAACCAAAGCGCAACACTCAAGAATTACCGATTTCTACGCCACTTTCATCGACTTTATAACAGCCTTCCTGGACGAGATGAATGCCTGGGAGATTCGCCAACCCGCTTACCTGGCGGCCGGCTACCCTGCACGCCTACAGCTGGCAGACAGTGGAAAGGCATTCAATGACAGATAAGCGACCCCCAGTCTGACGGATCGGCAGTAACAAACCGTGTGGCGCTAATACTTGTAGGCGTGTGTGGGCACCAGTCCAGAGAAGTACTTACCTATTAGAATGCCATAAGCTACAGTGGTGGCGTAGCGAATGTGGCCATCATCCAATTCGGCATCCTCTGCCACCGTTCGCCACAGCATGGGTAGTTAACACAGGCGCAGGGCATAAACAAGCGGCGATCTTCAAGCCTGCGTACTACGAGGGGCAGCCCCTCCACAAAGCCGTTGCACACAAGCTCAGCTCGACTGAAGTTTTGAATGACTGAATACACAAGGTCTGCGAGTCCTGGTTATGCTCGCAGATGCCTAGTAGTACTGAGGAGCAAGCTCCTGCCCACTTGCAAGGCCCGCACAACCTACGCCATACATTGAGACGGTCCCCAGACGTCCACGAGGGGCTGAACGCCCCTCACGATAAACGAACCCAGCAAAAGTTATGCATTTCGGATGCTCTAATAACTTCACACTGATGGTTAGGCGGTTCCGCGACGGTGACGCACTACGTGCGAGATTTGCCTCAACTCGCCCCGTCTGGCTGAGGGGAAGGATCGCATGTTCGTCCCAATCTCGACAATGAGCCGTCGAGATGGCGGCAAAAAGACTTAACCAACGGCGGCGTAAGGTGAATGCAGCGCTAACCCAGGCCCGCAAAACATCCCCCGGCAGGCCCAGAGAGATCATCAAACTGCACCAAGTGTCGGCAACCCAGGAGGCGGTATCATGTGACGACCGCACCGAGCTATATCTCCCACCCAACTTTTCGCCGACCCTAGATAAGCTGTCTAGCCTACGGTGAAACAACGCACCCGGAGCCCCTCGGCCTCCTCTTTCGAATCACCCCGGGCACCTCATCCATTATCGCAGCGAATTGAGCACCCCTACCACACAAGACCAGCGAGATACACTTGAGAAGGCGCTCCTATACGACAGCAGCCCACGGTCCGCGCCCCAGCTGCGGCACCCAACCACAACGGACCGACCGGATAGAAATCAGGTCCACCAACTCCTAGGAGTCTAGATGCCTGCGGGCGGTGTACGCAGGCGGCAGATCCACGCCCCCCCCCCCTCGTTCGTCTAGTGGTACCCAGCGCCGGGATAGCACAACTCGCTGCCCGAACCGAAACCGGCTGACCACGGGGTGCACTCCCCATCGGTGAAGTTTAACACGTCGACCCCCAGCGGTGAAATGCTGACTAGTCCGACGACCTCGCCCGGGACTACTTCCCCAGGTTCACTAAACTAGATTAATGACACTGCCACCATTATCCAAATTAGTTAGCTGACGTTTTGACAGGTCCTAACACCGTCAATCTTCTGAGATCGCGGTCGTAAAAGTCAAATTGGATGAGCAATAAACCTATTTTTAAGTGATCTGGCCAGCTATATGGCGTAACGCCCGCCTGGCGGGACACCGTCCAGGCCGCAACTACAAAGCGAGCTTAGTGAGAAGACCCAACAGACAACCTAACGACCAGCCGCCGCACCTAGGTTCGTCTAGAAATCTAAGCTGTCCAAACCTCCATCTCAAATCCGACACACAGCGGCCGTGCATCGCCCCCAACAGCTTATGCGCGCCAATCCCATTTTCCTTGTCCTTGCATAGGGATCATGGGTCATAGATTTCCCCGACACCAGGTGCTTATGGAAAATGGACAGGGTGGGGCTCAAGTCCCGGCAGTGGCAAGCAGGACAACGCTATGATTACTACGCCCCAGGACGGCCCCGTCACAGAACCGGGACTACATAAGTAGGGCGCACGGGCAGACCCACTGCCCGAGGTTGAACAATCTGTAGCAACGTACAGGCCCTGTACGAGTCCCAACAAAACCGAAACGGGGCTCAACATTTCCTCGAGGACCCAATACCAATCCAGCCCATGACAGACAACTGAACTGAGCAAGTGGCCCAGTGAAGAGAGGAGAAGATACGCTGTTAGGAACATTTAATCTGGTAAATAGGGAGCCAACACGTAAATAGTTACAAAAAGTGCATTTTAAGGGATAAAGTTTAAGGTGAGACAACCAATTTTGGCAGGAAAATCACTTAAACCTACTAGTCGATTAGTAATAATACATGGGGTAGGTAGCCATGTGTGATCTAATTGAAACTTGAAGTTTGGACCAGTATTTAAAGAATTCAGTGACCCTAACCGCATGGTAATTACCCAGATTAAGTGCGCAACCAAAGGTAATCCTTACTTTGCCGGAAGCTAAATCAAGTCCTCTTTGTAACTTACCTGGTGCAGTGCAAGCGAAAAGACGGTTTTAGAGACGGCACGAGATCCCATGAACTCGAACACCAGATCCATCCGACCTACCGCACCAACACCAAGAGCTTTCATTAGCAGCTATGTGGCTGATGACAGAGAAGGCAGGAGCCGGCGACCTCCCGAAAGCCGTCGGCAGCTATCGAGGTTTCGGCTGATACTCGGATCACTGACGACAGTACTCCTTTTCAGGGCCTCTGGAACTGCTAACACTGCAGGCATCACCGACATCGCGAGTCAGCACCCAACACAATTCTGACAAACACAGGTGGGAGGAACGGCAACCCTTATCACTGCGGCTCGCCAAGGAGTACAGCAGATCCATGTAAGTCACCGATGAGCGTAGTCACACCGTACCATGGCGAAATTGTTCACCAACGCCGTCATCCATATCTACGGCTAAGCAGAAGAGGTCCCTCCGAGGGACTTCGACCACCTGAAAATCAGCTGCAACCAACAGAGGCGTAGAATTGCATGAGGAACAGCATGAGAAGACCTGGGGCCTCAGTCTCCACAGCAACCACTCCGGGCAGCAACACCGCCAGTCTACTGGATACTACCGCAACTCCCACAGCTTACGACTAAAAATCAACAAGGAAGTCATATAAAATACAATTATGGTTTGGAAAAGCAAGTGATTGCAACCATTTAGAAAGCTTAAAAATAAAATAATCAACGATCTCTAGAGCGAGAGCGCGAACGGCTGTTCCGACGCTTGTCTCCGTTTGAGTATTTATCATCATAGCGATCACGTGGGGAGGAACGGCGGCGTGGGGAATAAGACCTTGAACGTCTACGTCTAGGTGATGGTGAACGCCTGTAAAATCAAATTTTTCGTAATAACGGGCAAGTTAGGCGAATGTTAGGTTAAATGCTGCACAGACGCGTACTTCTTACGAGAGTTCGGACGTCCGTACATGGCTCGTTGGACCCGTATCTCCCTCCCGTCAATGCGTCTCCCGTCCATGCCTCGAATAGCAGCATCTGCATCGCGGTCGGTGTAGAATCTTACAAAGGCAAATCCCCGACTCTCCTGTGAGTAGGGATTGCGAGGAATATAAATGTCGCCTAAGAATAAAACTCCTGCTTAACACATACCGACTTCGCCGTATCTGCCAAAAACTCTTCGAAGATCTTCAAGAGTTGTTCGGTATGCTAGGTTGTCAACCTTCAAAGAAACCATCCCTTCAATTCGGGGAGGAGAGCGCCCGTAGCTGCCCATCTTAGACGGTGAGGACTGAAAACAGGTGTGACAAAACAAAGCCTGCAGAGAACGTCTTGGGGTCCAAGATTCCGTTTTCTGGTGTGTCTATTTGGGAACTCCATATCCATGCATACTATAATGCTCTTCAACGGCAAAGTGGATGACAAGTGTCTTAGATGAAACACTGGATTGCGTTTACATATGGTCATCAAAAATGAAGGAATATATAAAACTGGAAGTTAGGTCCGCTCTTTCAGGCCCAGAATTCAACTGCAGATTAGCGGGGTCCATCGTATCTTATTTGCTTCCCGGGAGAACCTACATGGTAATCATGTCCGTTTAAGTTAGTACAAGCTTGGATTAAGATGAAATTGGGTCGTTTAATATAACGACCGTCAGCAGTAGTTAATGCCTCACAATAACGGAAAACGCGCACAAATCTCGTGAAAAAAATTAAAGTATCATGAAGAACGAAGAATGAACGAACAGCAAATAGGTTAAAACAGGCAGACAACATCTAGTGCCTTATGATAAAACACTGGAGTTAAGATATCCGGGCACCGAAATAAAACGTAGGCAACAGTAGCAACTTGCCTGGCAATGAGTCCAGTGACACATAGGTAGACGTACTGCTATTATGCCCGCTTACGCTGCCGCCCAGAACGAGCTGTCTCACTTTCCGATCCAGTCCTTGCATAAGCAAGCAGTCTTGTTCCTGATAAAAATTCGAGAAACTGCCTGAACTATATGGGTATGGAGGTTATTACTCTTTCTGACAAATGACATTGGCTGCAAATTTGTCCTTCTCGAGCGCTCACGTGCATCATAAAAATTCCCTTTTTGTGCCCTCGAAGATAACATCTCTGACCCTAACTCCAGAAATTTTGCCCACGGCATCACTTTTTAACCCCTTAATTTAGCATGGTGTGGCTGAGCAGTTGGTCTGCTCGCTGATTCTTAAAGTCTGCCGTTGGCAATTGTGTGCTCCTAAGAATCTCTATCAGAGGACGATTGATTCGTTCCGATACCTCCTTGGTTGACAGCACTTTCAAATGCTGAGGAGCAAAAGGACTTCGCTGTTCATATGACTGCTTCGCTGAAACCATTGTCACAATGGCTAGAGCAGTTGGACGTGCTACACAGGTGTTATCTGCGCTGAGACGAGGATAAGCGCAGATTTACAGGGAACTGTTTGGAAAAGCCTGCAGGACACTCTTTCGGGTTCACTTGGTGTCTGCCGCCCGGTCTAAATGGGATCATTTACGGATGGAACGAGTGCAAGAGAGCATTACGGATATAGTTAAGAATATTGACCATCTGTCTTACGAAGCCGGACTTACCATACTTTGTTTCCTCTCAGTTACACGCAACTGCGCGACGATCACATTCAAACCCATCGGATTGTCAGGGGCCGTGGTTATGCCTCAGAGATTTATGACTTCTTCGAAATGCCCGGATCGAACCGTTTGTATGGCCATCCCTTTAGACCGCAGGAAAGTTGGTTCATGGGGACGTCCGGCGGAAGGTTTTCTCGCGGAAGTTCGTTGGAGCATGGAATAGACTCCTTGGCGCGGTGGTCCTTTCTGAAACTGTTGACACAGTTAAATACAAACCAAATGCTAATTTGCTGGGAAACTTCTGTACTGGTGACAAGCTAGGTCTTCCGCGCATTTCGAATTCGGTCTGAAAATTCCGAATCCTGAGGGATCTATCTTTTCGATATTTCTGTCTACTGGACACTGACGGCCTACTGGGACTAAGAAACTGACCCCCATAGCAATATCTAAATCCTCAAGGGACTTCAACAGGACTTCCATTAGAAAAAAATAATCTTCAGAAGTCAAAGCGGCGAACAAACGTTGCTTTCGATGACTTCTATTAAGGCCGGTACAGTTATGTGGAAACGGGGTACAGTTGTTTCGACGTTGGAACTCGAGGCTGACAAAACTTTGTCCCCAAAGCCTAACTTTTCCTCGATTTCCGATCAACTCGCTCAATCGAATTATTAACACACGTTAATTCCTACGACTGGACTGATTTCTTCCTTAGTTCGGATGTAAATGTTTGTACTGCACAACTGTACGAAATTTTAGATCCGCGTATTTCTCGTTTTGTCCCCCGTAAGAAAATTATTAATGTTGGGGATGAGGCTTTCCTACCCTTACTTTCGTCGCAGATTGCGCAGACTTTATCGTCGTTTCCATCTTCAGAACGATGTTTCTGTCCTGCCCTTGATTTCTGATATTTTTGAGCGGGCTAAGAGATTGTCTGAAGAAAAACAGCTATTCGAAGAGGTCCAGTTCACTGAAAACCATTCGTTAAATGTCTCGAAAATTTTCTCTAGAAAAATACGAACTCACCGAAAGACGCAGTATCCCGTCCTCCGAGACGCTCTCGGAAATCCCATAGTTGATGTCCAGTTAACCGCTGATAGTTTCAATGATTTCCTGCCCAAAACGTTTATTGAAGGCTCGACCACTTCGCTTCCGGCCATCCAGGCATTGACCGGGGCAGTTCTAGAAACTATAACTTTCACTCTGTGGGATGTGACTGTTGCGATTCGGCGTTTTCGCCAATCTCATAGTCCAGGACCTGATGGTGTCCCAGTAAGCATTTTAAAAGCCGATGCAAATACGATTTTCCCATCCCTCTTATGCAAGATATTTAATCTTGCTCTTGAAAGTGAAACTTATCCTACCTAGTGGAAGGAATCACACATTTTGCCCATTCCTAAACACGGCAACTCTACGTCATTTTATGACTTTCGGCCAATAAACACCCTCCCCGCAGTTTCGAAGATCTTAGAGACATTGATCAAAGATAAGATTATGTGTCACTTAACAGATAATAACCTCCTGAGTGTTGCTCAGCATGGATTCCTCAAAGTTCGGTCTTGTGACACCTGTCAGCTCTCTTTCTTTGACTCTGTTCTCCAATCTAGGGAGAATGGCTTTGCACTTTACACAGTGTATTTCGATTTCACTAAGTCTTTTGATCGTGCTGACCATGCTCTTCTTCTCTTGAAACTGTCCTCTTTCGGAATAGGTGGTAAACTTTTAAATGTCATATCCTCTTACCTGTGCACTCGTACACAACGCGTTAAGATTTCCAACACTATCTCCAGCCTCACACGTGTGAGGAGTGGAGTCATTCAGGGTAGTGTACTCGGTCCGCTTTTATTTTGCCTTTTCGTTAATGATGTACCCGATTTATTTCAGAATGGTAAGCCTTTCATGTATGCCGATGATCTGAAAGTTGCTTATCGATATAAGCCGGCAGATCGTGACACCGTGCTTGAACTCCTGAAGATCGACCTACAGGCTTTCGCCCAGTGGTGCCGCACATGGTGCCTTTCTCTTTCTCGGCATAAGTGCTCAGTCATGGTGGTTGGCGACGACCGCCAACCTCAGCTAAGCATTGATGGTCACGCCATAAATGTGCCTGGGGTTATTAAGGATCTGGGCGTATCATACTCCAAGAGTCTCAATCTCTCTGAGCACTGTGCCTTGATAGTCTCCAAAGCACGTAGAACGACCGGGTTTATCCTCCGAAACTTTAAAACTAGGGACATTAGAATGCGCCTTTTCAACATGTACGTTAGACCTGGCCTGGAATACTGTTCGTTTTTATTTAGCTTCATGCGTGCTACTGAGCGGAAGAAAATAGAATCCGTTCAACACTTTTTACTAAGAGAATTTTAACCCCGGAACACCGACATTTGTCTAACGAAGAACGTTGCCGGCTTACAGGCCTTGGTCCTTTATGGTTCCGTAGATTGCAAAAGGGACTATTTTTGCTATTTAAACTCTTATATAACCACACATTTAACCCACTCACCTCTTTAAGACATCATGTCTAACCCCGACGTAAAAGTTACTGCGAGGTCTTTTTATTTCTTCCTCTGGCACGTACTGTTAACTATCGTCGATCCTTTTCTGTAAATGCAATTACTATTTGGAATTAAATACCCAGGAATGTAAAAATCTGCAAAATTATTCTTTATTTAAGAGAAATATTACTCGATTCTTGCATTCAGAAAAGCTCCCACAAATTTTGGTTGCCGAAACCTCTGATCGGCTCTACCGTAGCGATGGCGTTTGTGATCTCTGACCACTATGGCCGATCTCACCAGGGAAATTTCTTTGGCCAACAGCGACAGCTGTTCTTCGGCGCTTCTGTTTGGACTAGCCCCAACTTCATGATAGAAAGTGGCGACTGACATTATCCGATATCGTGCAACCCCTCCTTTCTTGACGGTCGAAAGTTTGCCGTCAGCAGTTTTTTATTCTCCTGAACATTCCAAACCATAAAAACCACCATCAGCTATATTTTTATTCCTTTTTCGCAGGAGTTTTTTTCACTGCTGGCCGGATTTGTGTTTAACGCTTCCCTGACAATGCCTGCAAACTGGCATTAAATAAAAATTATTATTATTAGTGATTAAAAAAAATCGATAAAAGTTAGTTTTAAAATACAGGTTTTTCTAAGATCCATAAGGAAGGCCTATCGGTTCGTTCGATTTAAGATATACGGAGTCCTCCGTATAATGCGATAGCGAAATGATTAGCAGAGAAACTCAAGCCCATACAACATTAGCTGGCAACGCGCAGCTTTAGACGTAACTTTCAATTCATTGACGACATTAAAAACCTCAACCCTAATGGCATGATGATGTTCTAACTAGACGTTGCATCACTTTTTACAAATGTCCCGGTCACCGAGACAGTGGATTGTATCTGTTATTTTCTATCTGCCAATCAACAAGAAATAGGAACCCGACGAACACACTCAAGGAACTATTATTTAGGTGCACATTAAATGTGCAGTTCATTTTTGTCAGCCAACTCTATAGACATATTGACGGCGTTGCTATGGGCTCGCCTCTTTGAACTTTCTTAGCCTATGTCTTCATGGGCAAGCCGGAAGATTTCAACAAAGCGATCAAATCGATAAGCCTAAACATTGCGGTCGCTATGTTGATGATATCTTTGCAGTTGTCACCGCAGAGACCGACGTAGCTATCCTCTTAAATGCTGTAACTCAGGCACATCCGTCGGTCAAATTCACGTTGGAGATTAAAACAGCCCGTTCGCTCCCTTTCTTAAATATTCTTCTAAACAGGAGACCTGACGGTAGCGTCTGAATGAGCGTCTATCGGAAGAAAACCTGGTCTGGACAATATACGAACTTCACCAGTTTCGTTACCCTCCAACAAAAATGACATCTAGTCCGGTGTTTGGCATCAGGAGTTCGAAAAAATTTGTTCAACGGATAGCATTGAGGCGGAACTTAGAAACATTCAGGACTTGCTTCGCGAAAACGAGTAGCCTGACAGGTTCACTGTAAAGAACACTGCCGAACGACCGGCAAAACCTACCACAGTGACCGCCGAAAAGAAAGCTTTGTTCCTTAAAGTTCCTTTCCAAGGAGACGCTGTGAGTGAACTCCTGAGATGAAGTCTTGATCAAGCTATCTCGAGAACCTTCCCAGCAGCAAGGGTTCGCAAATAATTCTCTACTAAGCCTATTTTACCCTGAGAAGGCAAGGATAGGCTACCAACTAAGACAACCTCAATGGGCATCTACTCATTCCTTTGCTCCTGTGGCGCATGTTATAATGGTCGTACGAGTTGGCGCCTTTCCAAAAGAATACGAGAGCACTTCCACGCATGGCTGGCAAAAGGTAAAACTCAGAGGATAGACAACGCCATCCTTGCGCATGCAGTGGATTCAGGACATCGTGTGGACCCCACTGAAGCAGTTCGTGTGATTTATAAGATCCCATCGAGCTACCCTAAGCTACTGGGTCAGCGCCTGTTAGTAAGCGCAGAAGCGGACGCCATCAGGTTACGAAAATCGACCCTATGCGGTCAGAAGAACCTCGTTCAGGCTCCGCGCTTACCGTGGTCAAAGGTTGACTAACCCCGTGCAATTTTCTGCGCACTTGCGCTCTTGCTTATCCTGTATTTTAAAACTAACTTTTGTCGATTCTCTCAATCACTGTACCCCGTTTCCCTATGACTGTGCCGACCTGAAGAGAAGTTATTGAAAGCAACGTTTGCTCGCCACTTTGGCTTCTGAATTTCGCTATGGGAATTTTCATAACTCTAAAAATCAATCTCTTTCCAACCGTTTTCTGTCATCAGCGATGCGAGATTCCCAAAATTCAGGAATGACTGAGTTATTTGCTATTTACTTCATACCATTGGTCTGGTTAAATAACTTTTCCCATGCCAGTAAAAACGTTTCAAGTTTATTCAGCTAATCATTTTAGTCGAACAAATGCCCTTGGGACAGTGTACAAAAAGTCCACCTCGAGTCGGAATCTGTCTTTAGCACCAGGATGACTCTGCAAATGTCGATACCACTGACCCCTGATGTGCAGCAGACGGCCTGAAAAGAGTGAAATAATAAGTACTAGACATTGTGTAAATGACTACAATGTTGGATTTCCTGCTATCAAATCATCTCTTGCCAAACGGGCAAAAAGCTTGCTGGGTTTAATAAATGTAGGCGTGAGGAGAAAGCCTGCGCGGCATGTTTCGAACATTTTTAGAGATCCTTGGAGATGGAAAAGGACATAAAAGACCTGAAAATTGGGACGGGGGCATTGCTGAAACTTCCTCACTATCCATCTGAAACGTGAGAGTCCGCGATGTCAGAATTTCAGAAAATAAATAGTACTTATGCAAGCATGGCCTCCATAACTGTATCAGCCCTGAGAAAGAATACAGTTCGTCCAGGTAACTAATTATAGCCCAGAAATAGTCTCTTGTGAGCGAAAAGAACGAGGGAAAGGGGTCTCAGAAATCAAAGAAATGTCACAAAGTGTCGCGAAAATAGAACTCAGGCCAGAATGTCAGTGTGGGAGAGCAATCTGCACACAAAGCAAACGAATACCGGACCGCCGAATGAGTGTCACATTGTCAAGAAGCTCCGGTAGACGAGGAACCCTGCGGTAATTACGCCACTACAACTGTCTCTGAACCAAATGATGATGACAACAGAAGTTGGTGTTGTGCAGACTCTGCGCATATGAATAAACACTGCAACAATCTACTTGGTTGAAATAAATGAACCATCATAAAGGATATGAGGAAGTCTGTTTTGGACATCCCAAAGAATGGAATAAACCACGAGATGGAATAACTACATCATCATCTCAAATCCATTTTTAAAGGGAATGACGACATCGCCGCCTTAAGAGCCTTTAAGATAGGCCAAATTAACGGTTCAAATGATAAATCATGTCAAAACACACCGTTAAAAATTGTCCTCCAAAATGAAGAATATGCGTTGTTACTACCAAATCGGAAACCAGTACTCCGAACCGTTGACCCAACAATTTTTTCAGCAGGACTTCTCGCCGACCGATTGGTAGGAAGAATTTAAGAACATTGGATGGGAAAATCGTCTATGTTCGGAGCTCATTCCTCAGGAGATAATCAATAACACTGAGCATAATGGACAACCAGATTATAAAAAAGAACGATCCTATCTGCCGTATCGGCCGGCGAAAACGACGATCAATACACTGAGTCCAGTTCGATCAAACAACAGCAAACCCGAAAATGGGACAATGGACTGGATAAACCATACGAAGAATCCAACAACCTCGATCCAAAAATCTTTCAAAAATCTAGCGGGCCAAAACTTCACTTTATTCATACAGATACTTAGAGTTTATTCCAGAAGCACGGGTATCAGATAAGCAACTGGATGTCATTTCTATCACGGAAACTTGATTACAGGCCGAAGTATTGAATGCCGAAATTGTTCTCAACGAATACCACCTTTTCGCTCAGATAGGCTACATAAAAAGAAGGAGGGCTAGCCATCTGCGTCAAACGAGGGATCATTGCGTCAGAACAGAGAAGTAATATCTCCCGTGACTGTGAGGCAATTTGGTTAAGATTTAAGATGCGCGGTGCACCTGATCTGAGTTTCTTGAACGTATACAGGCCTCTAGATCAACCTCCAGAGGTTGATGGGGCGATTTTTGGGTTAGTTAAAGAGGTGGCCTAAAACCAAGACGCGTTGATAGCCGGAGACTTCAACGCACCGATGGTTGACAGGAACAATTTATTAGTAAACGGTGCTCATAATTCCTTTGATTCCAGACTCTTAAAACTGGCAATTACTTTGTTTCTCATTCAGAACGCCCCCTTTCCGACTAGAATCAAAGAGGCTCAATGGGCAAGCTTCTGCACCGCGGCCCTACAAAAGACCCAACTAGTGCTGCTGAACTTAGGTTCATAGCACCGCCTGGTAGGAGTGACCGTGTCATGCTGTTTTTGGAATACCGCTTATCCAGTTAACAGATGGAGACGACTGCGCCTCGGCTGAATTTCTGACGAGGAAATTTTGATGTTATGAGAAAATAATTATCGATAATGGACTGGCATGGCGTTCATGCCGGACATCCAGATGTTGATTAGGACAATGTAAATGGTGTTTTAAGTCCCGTTACGCATCGGAACAGTCCAACAAAGATAGCCCAAAAGACAAATCATTCTGTCTGGTTAACGAGAGATATAAACGAAAAGGTAACCCAGAAGAACAAACTTTGGAGACGGCATGTCACAATAAAACAAACTCTACATTGTGAGCAATTTCGTCAAAAAAACGAGGTAAGGTCAAACACCCGAAAGCCCCAAAATGAGTATAAAACGCGAATTACGAAACAGGCACTTGATAAACCAAATGTATTCTTCAGTTATTCTAACAGCAGGTTGAATAAGAAAGAGACTGCCTTAGTATTAAAAGGAGAAAACAATGAGGACATTATCGAAAATTATGCTAAGGCTAAACACGTAAGCCAGTCTTTCGCATCTGTTTTCACCGATAAAACGGATTTTGACCAGGCTGAAATGCCTACTGGAACAAACTTTGCAACAATGGGAAGCATTGATTGCACAGACGAAGTAGTAGTAGTAGTAGTAGTAGTAGTAGTAGTAGTAGTAGTAGTAGTAGTAGTAGTAGTAGTAGTAGTAGTAGAAAAGAAGGAATTTATTGTGCCTAATGAACACAAGTCTCCGGGAATAAATGGAATAGTATGGGTTTATTAGAGTACCTCTTTGGCAATGTCAATCTCTTTTGAACACAAGAAAAAAAGCAGTAAAAAGTTTTGAATGAGCTTGCATACGAACTCTCCAGACTGCTCTCGCAGATTTTCTAGTCGCCCTTTGACGGAGGCATTCTCTACTCTGATTGGAGGATGGCGAATATATATCCAATCCACAAGGTTAGATCTAGAACAGATGCCGACAGTTATCGGCCGGTGAGCCTAAAATACATTTTCTGTAAATTTATGGGCAGACTAGTCAAAAAATATATTTTAAAGTTCCTCAAAAAAGGACTTCGTTGGTAGTTCCCTACATGGCTTTCAAAGAAACCACTCCTGTCTAACCAATAGGCTCTATTCAATGAAGCAGTGATCTCGCCCGTCAGCTGAAGGTAAATATATCGGTGTTGTTTATATGGATCTCAAGAAAGCCTTTGATAGTATTCCACACTGCCGGTCCGGGAGTCTGGGGTAAGGGGAACCCCCTAAACAGATTCGAAAACTTATAGACCTGCCGATCGCAGTCTGCGTGAATTGCCAGTGCACAATCGATGTCAGTGCCAGTTATGAGTGTAGTACCCCAGGGTTCTGTGCTCGGACCACTACTGTTTTTAATTTGTCATTGATGTAAGAATTGACTGGACTGCTAAAGGGTCATGTTTGCTGATGACACCAAAGTATGACGAACGATGAACCGCGAGAATGATGAATGGACTCTAGAGGATGGACTTAACCGTTTATGCCAATGGCCCGATAAATGGCTACTGAAGTATATCCTTGAGAAGTGTATCGCAAAACGACTCAAAACGAAGAAGGGGAAAGCAAGTGGAGAAGGTCACCAATATATCCTTGACAGAAGGTGAGTTTCAAATGTAACCGAACAAAAAGGCCTTGTGATAAACATTTGGTGTCTCTGAAGCCCTCCAATCAATGCGTTAGGGCGGCCAAAAGAGAAACTGGTGTTCAATTTGCCATTAAAAGAACTTCCATAGATATAAACAAAGAACTATTTCGAAAAGTGTGCGGAGCCTTTATTCGTTCACAACTGGAATATGGAGTCTAAGCGTGGCGCCCCTGGCTGAAAAAAGGCTATAAGTTTCTGGAAAGGGTTTAGAGGGGGAGGGGCGAAATTGCAAAAGGTTTCAATACTTTACATTACAGCTGCAAGCTTGATGAGCTTAACCTATTTCTTCTTGAGAAAAGGGAGATTCGAGGAAGTTTCATACAGAACTACCGGATTGTGAGAAATCAGGAGTGTGTCCTAAACTTCAATGATTTTTTCGCCTTGGCTGCAACAGCAAACCTGAGTAGGGACTCCCTCACTCTTCGAGGAGTTTGATCCCACCTGACTTGACGCGGGCACTCCATTTCTCAGCGAGTCGTCGATGCCTGGAACTGACTTCCCGAGGAAGTGATTGTCGCGGACACAAAGGATACATTTAAACAAAGTCTGGATACACATTTGCTTAACAAATACCGCTTAGCTGGACAGAAATGTCCTGTTATAACAAACCGACGTTTTGCCTACACCTGTCGTTAATGCGGATGATTGTTATTTTATATTTGGCATTACAATTTACAACTGAAGGTGCCCGGGTTACCGTCCCGCATTTTGGGAGACTATATTCAGTAAAATGTGTTTGTCACTGACAACAGTTTAGTACCATGTTTATATAAATTTGCGTTTTGTAAGTATTATTGTCAACAGGGTCATCAAAGGCACTGCCTATCGAACTTAAATATACTGAAATATATGATCAGTATTGCGTCAGTGGCGGCAGTTTGCGTCGGGTCCACTCATTCAGAGGACTTTGCAATTCCCGGAAGGCAACAACTGGAGTTGTCGATCTGTCGATGCATTGAATTTGGAGATGTCTGACGAGGTGGCCATTCCTTTGTGGTTAAATTTGCCTCGCATAACGTGTCGGGGATCCTGTGGTGTTACCTTATCTTAAGGAGTGCCTGAAGACAACTGAGGTGGGAGTGATCGGGTCCCCATGCTTGTTTTTCATAGATTGCGCAGGTCTCCGCAACATGCAACAACCTCATCAACATGACAGTTTTGTACATCACCAGTTCGCCGTTGAGGTAGCGACGATATTCACTCCATACAGAGCACTGCGATCGTCCGAAGGCTTGCCTGGATTTCGAGATCCGATGAGCCACTCCGTCGATAATTTCGATGCAGCCTGAGAGTGTGGTGCATATGTAGGCGAAGTTGTCCACGGTCTTCAAATGGGTGCCATTGACGTGGATTCGAGAAACACTGAATTCAGCTTCGGGTAGCGGTTGAAGCCCTACCACCGTTTTGTCCGCGTTGATGATCATTCTGAAGTTCATGTTGCCGGGAACGAGTGGGTATATCGAAGAAGGAGACACGATCGCTAGAACAAGAGCCTTTATTAGGCTGACGTTTCGGATTCCTGCTCGAACCCATCATCAGAGACAAAAGCAGATATGAGTGGTTCATGCACAAGGGGCTGCAGTATTTATAGGATGCAGTCGCCATGCTACCGCATAACTATGAATGTTCAGGGTTCTCCCTTCATCAGGGATCGTTGCACGTGATGTGATGGCCGTTTGATGTCCGATATTCGCGCCGTCAATTGCTGCAATTTCATCACGTGTGCTGGATGTTGGGGTGATGATTGCTCGATCATCTGACGCACTGACCCTGATGTTGGGAAAAGTGTTCACCTGTGCGCTTTCCGCGTGGCCAATTACACCGCCTAGGCGAAGTCTCAGCACCGAGTATGAGATGGGAAGATCATTGCACTTGTTAATGGACTGGGGGCCATTGGCGAGGAAATCAATGTTCCGTTGCATGTATGCTTCTGTCACAGTATTGAGCGCGCGGGGTGTAGGAGTGTCAGCGGTGGGTTCACGTAATGGTCGTGGTGGTCGCTCACTTGCTTGCAGGTGAGACTGCGCCTAGCGTCCCCTTGCTGGCACCCAACTCTCACCTGTGGCTCCACGTAGCTGGGCTCTGCTCAGCGGCCACACCCCGGGCAACCGTCTCGACCGGCGGGCTAAACCAGGTGAGGGCGCTGTGCGCTGTGCCGTGTGCACAGGGTTTGCGGATTCCGCTGGATGAAAGGTCGGATGGAACCTTGCGTCGGCACCGTCGTGACGTGGTTCGTCTCTGCACGCCGCTGGACAGCCGGTGACGGGATGGATCTCCACATCGACATCGCCTTGACGCGCCCACCTACACCGTCGGAGACCGCGGCTTGCGGCGAATTCGAGTCGCTCTCCACTACAACCCGAAGTCGTGGTCCCATAGGGGAGTTCGGCCGTGCCACAACGGCACATGGCAGCCCTATTCAGGGATGGCACTGCCAGCCCCCACGAGGGGAAGGACCTAGAAAAGGTGGCCTAAACATTGCTGGGTACCACGCCGTCTCCAGGCTAGCCAGGGCCGCAGACGTCTAATCATGGTCGAAGCAATCAAAATCGAAACATCAACAATACCAGTAACAACAACAACCATACTCATTCTCCTCATCCTACCTCTTCTTCCTCTTCCTCTGCCTATTCTTCTGCCTATTCTTCTCCTTCGTCAACTTCTTCTCCATCTCCTTCCCGTCGCCCCACACGTTGTCATCAGACTGGCAGGGTGAGCTCGCTCACTCTGGCAGCCTGGAATGTTCGCTCTCTTTTAGACAATCCGAGGAGCAACCGACCGGAACGAAGGACGGCGCTAGTGGTACGAGAAATGGCGCGCTACAAGGTGGACATCGCCGCACTCAGCGAGACCCGCTTCTCCGAAAAAGATCAACTGGAGGAGGTGGGTGCCGGCTACACCTTCTTCTGGAGCGGTCGACCTAGGGCAGAGCGACCGGACGCGGGTGTCGCCTTCGCCATCCGGAACGACATCGTGGGACGACTACCCTGTTTGCCGCAGGGCATCAACGATCGCCTGATGAGCCTCCGCCTGCCTCTCTGGGGAGGCAAATTCGCCACCATCATCAGCGCCTACGCTCCGACGATGACCAACCCCGACGCCGTCAGAGACAAATTCTACGAGGACCTGCACGCCCTCTTGGCGACTGTGTCGAAGGCGGACAAGTTGATTGTCCTTGGTGACTTCAACCCCCGCGTCGGCACAGACCATACTGCCTGGAGAGGAGTGCTGGGTCCCCACGTTCTCCGCGGCTCAAACGACAATGGTCTGCTGCTTCTCCGCACCTGCGCAGAACACCGCCTCATCCTGACGAACACCTTCTTCTGTCTGCCGGAGCGAGAGAAGGCCACCTGGAGGCATCCTCGGTCGCGCCAGTGGCACCTGCTGGACTATGTCCTCGTCCGGAGGCGAGATCAGCGGGACGTGCTGGTGACAAAGGCGATCGCGGGCGCTGACGGGTGGACCGACCATCGCCTCGTCATATCGAAGATGCGTATTCGCCTACAGCCTCGCAGGAGACCACAAGGTAAGCGACCCCCAGGTAAGCTGAATGTTGCCTTGTTGTCTTTGCCCGCTCACCATCTTCATATCAGCAATGAGCTAGCTCAAAGGCTAGACAACCTTCCTATCGCTGCCGACGCCGCCGCTGCCGAGAACGCCTCCGTGGAGAACCGCTGGTGTCAACTGCGAGACACGGTCCAGTCGACGGCGCTCGCCGTCCCCGGTCGCGCTCCCCGCCAACACCAGGACTGGTTCGACGACAACGACGCCGCCATCAGAAATCTGCTAGCTGAGAAGAACCGCCTACACAAAGCCTACGTAGATCACCCAATGGATGCCACCAATGCTGCCTTCTACCGCAGTCGCCGCCAGCTTCAGCGACGACTGCGCGAGATGCAGGACGCCTGGACTGCTCGCAAAGCTGAGGAGATCCAAGGCTACGCGGACCACAACGAATGGAAGAATTTCTTCTCTGTGATCAAAGCTGTCTACGGTCCGCCGACGAAGGGCACTGCTCCTCTCCTCAGCGCCGACGGCAGTACTCTCCTGACTGAGAAGACGCAAATCCTGCAGCGATGGGCCGAGCATTTCCGAGGCGTCCTTAACCGCCCTTCCGTCATCTCGGACGCCGCCATCGAGCGTTTGCCGCAAGTGGAGACCAACGTGGACCTCGATCTCCCGCCATCTCCCCAGGAGACCATCAGGGTCGTGAAGCAGCTCTCCAGCGGGAAAGCACCCGGATCGGACGCAATCCCTGCTGAGGTCTACAAGCACGGAGGTCCCCAACTGATGGATCACCTGACTGCGCTCTTCCAAGAGATGTGGCGTCAAGGTGAAGTCCCGCAAGATTTCAAGGACGCAACCGTTGTGCATCTCTACAAGCGCAAAGGGAATCGCCAAGTCTGCGACAATCACCGCGGCATCTCTCTGCTGAACATCGCCGGGAAGATCTTCGCCCGCATCCTTCTTAAACGCCTCAATAACCATCTGGAACAGGGCCTTCTGCCGGAAAGCCAATGCGGCTTCCGTCGTCATCGTGGGACCACGGATATGATCTTCGCCGCCCGTCAACTTCAGGAGAAGTGTCAGGAGATGCGGACCCACCTGTACTCTACCTTCGTGGACCTGACGAAAGCCTTCGACACGGTGAATCGTGAAGGACTGTGGAAGATCATGCAGAAATTCGGCTGTCCGGAGCGATTCACTCAGATGGTGCGTCAGCTGCACGACGGTATGATGGCGCGAGTCACGGACAACGGAGCTGTCTCAGAGGCATTCGCAGTGACCAACGGAGTGAAGCAGGGCTGTGTGCTGGCGCCTACCCTCTTCAGTCTTATGTTCTCTGCCATGTTGATGGATGCCTACCGCGACGAACGACCCGGGATCCGCATCGCCTACAGGAAGGACGGTCACCTCCTGAATCAACGGCGGATGCACTTTCAATCGCGCGTATCCACAACCACCGTTCACGAACTCCTCTTCGCCGACGACTGCGCCCTGAACACCACCTCGGAAGAGGAGATGTAACGGAGCATGGACCTGTTCTCCGCCGCCTGCGAGAACTTCGGTCTGGTTATTAACACGCAGAAGACGGTGGTGATGCACCAACCGCCACCCCACTCAGCCACAACCCCCAACGCGCCGCCGCAAATCAGCGTGAACGGAACCCAACTGCAAGTGGTGGAGAACTTCCCGTACCTGGGCAGTACTCTCTCCCGCAACACCAAGATCGACGACGAAGTCGCCAACAGGATCTCGAAAGCCAGTCAAGCCTTCGGTCGCCTCCAAAGCACAGTTTGGAATCGCCACGGTCTTCAGCTGAGCACGAAGCTGAAGATGTACAAGGCCGTCATCCTGCCGACAGTAGTGTATGGAGCGGAGACTTGGACGGTGTACGCAAAGCAGGCACGTCGTCTGAACCACTTCCACCTCAGTTGTCTTCGTCGCATCCTGAGGCTAAAGTGGCAGGATCGAATCCCCGACACTGATGTGCTGGAACGGACGGGAATCCTCAGCATCTACGCCATACTGAGGCAAATTCAGCTGCGCTGGAGCGGCCACCTGGTGCGCATGGACGACGAGCGACTACCCAAACGACTCTTCTACGGAGACGTCGCGACGGGTTCTCGTCGTCAAGGAGGCCAGATTCGCCGTTACAAGGATACCCTGAAGTCCTCCCTGAAACGACTGCAAATCAACCCCACCAACTGGGAGGAGCTCGCACTCGATCGACCGACCTGGAGGAGGACAGTGAAGACAGGCACTGCGATCTACGAAGCCAACCGCATCGTTGCCGCCAAAGCGAAACGTGAAGCCCGCAAATCACAACTTCGCCCAGTACGCAACGCCGCCGCACAACCGCTTCCAACGTGTCCTCGATGTCAACGGACATTCCGGGCTCGAATCGGACTTGTTGGACATCTTCGGATTAACTGCGTCCCTCGAAAGGCACAAACCATCGTCCCCCCGCCTGCCTCTTCCTCCTCCTCTCCGCCGCCAACTAACTCCGACAATTCTTCTGAC